AAGGTTGCTGTTAGGATTACCAGTCAATAAATGATCACAACTATTTGTTAGATGTTCCAATAAATCATCAGGACAATATGGCGGATCTGGAGGATGATAAACAGCAGCCACATAAAAGCTTGAGTTGGGAGTTGTAATTTTAGCCCACAAACATTCAAAGGCATTATAAAAAACGCTGTCTAATCGTTCCAACAACCAATGGCTCCTACAGACAATAGCAACACCACCGCCTGACCGGTCAGTTCTATCCTTTCGCAAAATTGAGTAATCCTTCGGACAAACGAGATGAGATGGAAAATTTGGTTTAAGCCATGTCTCGGAGATGATGCAAATATCGCAGTTGTTTGAGTGCAATTCCATATGCAAAGCAGAAGCAGCATCAACTTTCACAAGTGATCTTGCATTAATGACCATACATTTGGGGATTATTCGGGGTAAAGAAGAAGAGTGAGTAGAAATGAAATGCAAATTTATATCCTTGGGTCGAAGTCGTGCGCGTTTGGTCGTTGATAAAAAACAGTGGTCAGTGACACGAACTGGAATCTTGTGATGTTGTTGACGAGATCCGAATCTAGAATTAACACCAGCTCTACGACCTCTAGCTCTATAAATTCCCAATGACTTTAAGCGATGAATAAGATAATAATCCAGTTTAACCTTAGGACAACAGGAGCGAAGTTGAAATAAATTACGTCGACTGAAAGAAAATCTAGGTCTCGACAAATCCAGGTGGACAAAGCAGGTTTTAACTTCTGCTAGTAACTGGCCAACGAGGGCAATTCATCCACCTACTATCATTAAATGGAATACAATTGACATCCCAGACTGCCTATCTGTCACTAGAGGAACACACTAAGACAAGCAGACCCAACAAGGCAGCAGCTGCCGTAACAATTACTGAATTTACTCCTGACAGTAGAATATGTCTGCTCACGACTCTGAAAGCTTATATAAAGGAGACAGAAACACTACGGAATGGAGAAAACAAACTGTTCATAAGTTTCATAAAACCTAACAAGGCTGTTTCAAGAGACACGATTTCCAGGTGGACAAAGCAGGTTTTAACAACCTCTGGCATAGACACAAAAATGTTTACTTCACACAGTACAAGAGCTGCCTCAGCAACAAAGGCCCATCAAAAAGAAATCCCTCAAGATACCATACTGAACACAATTGGTTGGGAATCAGCAGAAACATTCCGGAAATATTACCATAAACCAGTGCTAGGCTCAAGAGGAGCAACACTAGCAGAAGCAGTTTTGTCTTAGATTCACTCATCTTTTTTCTTATACTTGAAAATGTTATTGTTCTTATGTCAAGATGTAATGACACTATACGCTCTGCAGCATGAGTGAACTTTTTGATGGAAATATTGATATACTTTATTGATATGATATCCATTACACAAATTAGCTCACAAATTTTTTATTGGTTGAACAACAATAACATTCATATTAAAATATATTTACAATTGGTATGCAATTGTCTTATGTGACATATTTAGCTGGCTGTGTCAGAGCTTTGAAGTCTCATGGGCTCTCCATGCCTCCGGTCATGTGATAGAATTGGAAAATTAAACGAGACTTACCTGTAAGTTGAAGTTTGATTGAGATTCTATCACATGACCAAGGAGGCAGGAGATCACATGCCCACCCTGTCAGCTATGAGATCCCATCCCTGTTATTCTTATGTGTAATATGGGAATCTGGATTATATCTGACACAACCACTGGCTTTAAAACAATGACTTGACGCATGCACTGTGCTATCTCATGTGATCTCCTGCCTCCTTGGTCATGTGATAGAATCTCAATCAAACTTCAACTTACAGGTAAGTCTCGTTTAATTTTCCAATTATTCTTCTCGTGTTCAACTCGACATTCCACTCGTTCGCTGTGCTCAATCGTAAGCTATCAAGTGAAGCACTTGAAGAGAAATTCCATATCTACGCGTGCCCATGTATTATTCTCTAACTATTCAATCATGTAAAACTGATCAGTATAGGGATAGAGCTTGGATTGTTGTAGCTTCCTCTGGGAAAGCAACTTGTCCGGTTGTAGTGATGAGCTGTTATTTAGAAAGAGCTGGGCTTTCCTGCAATAGCTCTTATTTTGGTTATTAGCTTAGGGCTAAACCTTTAAGGTATTCACGGTCAAGAGTATTAGTGCTACAAGCTTTTAAAGATATTGTACCAGATATTTCTGCCATTGGTATGCATAGCCTTAGGAGTGGCGGGGCTACTGCTGCCGCAAATGCTGGCTTGCCAGACTGTTTCTCTAAACGTCATGGCCGCTGGGCTAATGACTCAGCTAAGGACGGGTATGTTTAAGATTCTTTATCTTCACGTTTGTCGGTTTCTAAGGCTTTAGGTATTTAGTTTTCTTGTGTGTAACGCTTTTAACATATTGTAGTATCTATTTAGTTGGTCATGCCCGGGGGACCGTTGTATTTGGGGTACAGCTGGTCTGGGGTTTTCCTCCTGGGTGCAAGTGGACGAACGG